TCTTTTGAAAAGTTTCTTATTCTTAATTCTTAAGGACACATATCTATGCATTTTCTGTAAAGGACATACTTTTCACTTTCTTTTTCGAGGTAATGAAAATAGCACTTTTTCTAATGATTTATTGTTTTTATTTAAACTAACTACATAATTGAAGTGACGGTGATATGATTTGGATCATGAAAAAAAATGAATTATTATCGTATAAAATAAGATTTCCCTATGCATGCATATTTCTAACTGTAATCATGTGATTGTTTTGACTTTTGATTATGGAATTTTATATTCTCCTATAGTTTGTTTAGAATACTATTTATTTATGCTTACAGCCTCTTAAATTATTTTAACATTAAATAAAATAAATTTTTATTAGGTGTCGTGTATATTTTTTATATATAGATTCCATGTGACTTAAATTGAAAATGGATTTAATTCAATTAAAAGAGGTCAATTATATTGGGTTGGGTTGGGTTGAAATTGATTTAAGAATGAAAATATGATAAATTCACATTGCTAATCTCACTAAATTGGATTTTATCTATTGCTAGAGATTGATTGGTGAGAGTTGAAAAAAATAGAGATAGCAAAGTGAAGAAGCGTAATGAAATAAGTTTTTATTTGTGAACATATATATTTCTAAAGAATATGAGACTAATTAGGTTCTGTCGACTCAATTTAGTTTATGATTTTATAAATTTGATGTTGAATCGAAATTAATCGGATTTAGATTTGATTAACCAGGTAGAGTATGTTGTATAAAAAACTCGATCCGATTAAAATACGATTGTCAGGTTAAATAGGATTGTCTCCTTCAAATGAAAGAAGTGCATCATATATATATATTGACTAAATAATTATATTTTTGCTAGAAAAATAACTTTTGTTAATGTGACTTTTAACCAAATAAACCAGAAAAAGTAATATATATTTTTATTGTTTTATGGTAAGGGAATAATAGCAATAGATAAAAAGGGTATGAAAGCATGTGCACTAATTAACTTTAAATGTTTCAGATATGAAGAGAATAACTTAAAGATTGGAAAAAAGAAAACGAATATAATGTTGATAGGTGATGGAAAAGGAAAAACTATCATCACAGGGAGAAAGAATGTTGCTGATGGCATGACCACATTTCATACTGCAACCTTTGGTAAATTAAATTCCTTTTCACTATATACTATTGCTTTATTTGTATACTTGTCAGAATCTAACACCGATTCAAACTATTGAATTTTCCAAGATTTGATGGCTAAGATGTGGAGTAAGTTTAGAGTTAATGAATCTCCTTTTTTTTATAAACAATTGAAATTGATTAAAGTATTATATGTTTGATTCATATTAACTAACTTACATCTTCCGACCAGTTATTTAAATTGTGGACTGCATGCGACTACAATATTGTAGATGCAGTAATCACTGTAACCACATTACACTGTAATTGTGATGTGATTTTGAATCACAATGATGTGACTGCATCGGGTTGCAACGTAACCGCATCAAACTGTATTTGGAGCGTATCGAATTTAAAAATATTGTTTTAATCACAAAATAATTCACAACGCAACAGTCGCAAAAGTTGCAGTAATTGCAACCGTTACTGCAGTCGTGATCACAACCATAATTTAAAACATTGGTTCTAGCATTGTGATTGAAAAAATCACATTGGAATAGCTAACCTCGTCATAAAAGGAATAGTCTAGAATAAAGGATTATTGTGATGTACATAAAATTATATATGTAACAAGTCAATCTCAAAGTCTTTTTGTTAATAATATTATCCTTTAATAGAAATAAGTTAACATTAAAGTTTGAAAGGAATTAAGTCTTTGAACCTTTTAGGAGATATATAAAGCCAAAAAAAATAGGAAAAATTATAACCACCTTAACTTAGAGGAGTAAATATATATTTAATTTAACCTATAATATAAAACTTTAGGATGATTATTTTTGTTTGAATCAGTAATAATATATATTTAATTATATAACCTATAATATACTATTATTGATTTGTGTTTATATTCTTTTTACTCAATTTATTCTTTACTTTTATATTCTTTATCTACTATATTATATTAATATAAAACTTTACATTAATCGTATAAAAATATTAAACTCCTAGAAATTTAGGATGATTATTTTTTTTTTCTTAAACAAAGCTACCATATTGATGGTGATATGTAATGTCATCAATGCACACATTATTGTGCCTTAAAATATGGTTGCACATGAAGGTACCCCCAACTTTCTAATTTACTAATATCATTTTCAATGGAAGTTGCAAATAGTAATAGAGAAAAAGACGTTTCCACTCATAGCTTATGAGATTTATATACTCTTGTTGTATTATTCATTATCCATATTTTATCATCATTGATTCTTCAGAAAAAGGTAATTCAAATATTAAATAATGAATAATATAGTAATTATATATAAATTTTTACACTGACAATGCACGAATATTACGATAATATACATTTTTTATGCAATTGTTGTTGCATATATTGCATGATTGGACACTTTCATGTATTCCACAATTATTTGAATGTCCAACTGTTGCATCAAATTTTGTTTTCTTAGATCCCAATAATTAATGATTCATTATATTAGAATATAAATAAGTTAATATAGGACACAATACGAGGTATATTTAAAGATTAAAGATTAAAAAGAACTTACAAATGCATTAAAATGTTTTTATGTTGGTTTTTTTTTAATGATGTTTTAACTATTTGTTGGTTAGTTGTTGTTGGAGTTTAAAGTAACCTGACTCATTAAACATTAGTGTTTGATTGTGATACTTTAATTAAAGTGGAAATGCTGGAATCTTACACATTCTCTACCTTCATCAAAAGTTAGTATTATTCACTACTTGACTTTTATTATCATAAGTGGTTTTGAAGCAACTAAAAATAAATAGTTCATAATATTTATACAAAGTAAAGATTTATACACAGTAACTGAATAATCCATAATTCATTTGTATTACTTTTATTTAAGAGTCAATGATAATAAAATATGAATGATGAATCATGTAGTAAGAATGTACAAATTTCTTACGAGCCATGATATCATTACTATGGTCAATTCAAAATTTTATGTATTCTAACATTCTAATCATTAGATGAATTAAAATATCACATGATTTGTGCTTAAAAATACAATAATTATATGTTTAGTTAACATAATTTCCCTATAATTGCTCCATTTAGTTATACTTCTAACTAGATTCGTTTTGCAGCCGCTAGTGGCGCTGGTTTTGTTGCACGAGACATTACGTTTGAAAACTACGCTGGACCAGAGAAGCACCAAGCAGTGGCTCTCCGTGTTGGAGCTGACCACGCGGTGGTGTATCGATGTAGCGTCATTGGTTACCAAGACACATGTTATGTGCACTCCAACCGTCAATTCTTCCGCGAATGTGACATTTATGGCACAGTTGATTTTATATTTGGAAACGCAGCCGTAGTTTTTCAAAAGTGTAATTTTTATGCTCGCAAACCCATGGCCCAACAAAAAAATACAATCACAGCCCAAAATCGGAAAGACCCGAACCAAAACACAGGTATATCCATCCACGATTGTCGTATCCTACCCGCACCGGATCTTGCTACGGTGAAGGATAGTGTCCCTACCTATTTGGGTCGTCCATGGAAATTGTACTCTAGAACCGTATACTTGTTATCCTACATTGGGGATCATATACATCCCAATGGATGGTTGGAATGGAATGGAGAGTTTGCATTAGACACATTGTATTATGGAGAGTACATGAACTACGGGCCGGGTGCAGCCATAGGACAACGGGTTAAATGGCCTGGATATCGGGTTATCACATCAACTGTGGAGGCTAACAGATTCACCGTGGCTCAATTCATATCCGGTTCGACATGGTTGCCATCCACAGGAGTGGCTTATTTGGCTGGGTTATCCACTTGAATTCTAGCATAGAACATGGTTACAAACTTCACACATACCCAATTGGGCAAATGACTTTTATTTTTGTAGTTACTACTTTATTTTAACATGGCAAAAATTGTAGCTTTTTTGCCTTAATTTTTTCCTCAATGATGCTAATAATAGGTGTTATAAGCTGTAAACAATGCTTTATATATTAGTTCCTTTTCCCCTTTGGATGCCAATCAAAAACATTGTAGTTGACTCAAGAAGTTTAGCATCAATTTTTTCAGTGATATTATTAAGAAAAGGCAAGGACAACACATCACATGACAAAGCCCTAAAATATAAGGGTATAATTTTGACATTATTTGTACCAAATACTGCACTACCATAACATATTATTACAAATATAAGTAACTCATAAGTGATAAACACTATAATGGAGTTTATCTATTCACAAAAAACTATACACAACCACATTCTAAATGTTCCACTTAATATAAGTGTACTTTCTAAGCACACCCTCTTTAAGGAAACCAAACTTTTTCTGAGACCCTCAGAAGCCTTGTTTTATACCGGATTAAAAGGTTGTACAATGGTCTTAGAGTTGTACATGTATACTTTATCATAAATCGTGTTAATTGACAAAATATTGATATCGAAATATTTCCTAGTCATTTTACGTTTTTCCTTTGTCACCCTTTTCTCTTGAAAAATACTTCTTCAAAAAGAATTTGTTTGTTTATCAAGTATCTTATGGATCAAAAGATAATGTTAATAATAATTTTGTGCTTTATAAGAGCTTTAGTATCAATTCTATGCTTTACAACTTCTCCAAAAACTTAGTTTTACACATTAACCTTTCAGTGCAAAAATGTGAAGTAGATGTAAATGAGTTGCTCATTGGGTTTTATGCTTATTGATAATGATTTACTATAGAAATATGTTTAATAGTCCACAACTTATAAAATAACAAAAGTTGCTTCTAAAAATGGAAGAACAAACACATCTGACAATGTTTCTCAGTTTAGTCCCACATTGCTCAAAGTATGTGTACAAATTTCTGCAAGCATTGTTAAATAAGGAGCAAGTAGGAACGCTAAAAAATACTTACCTGGATGGGGTCAATGGGTGATCATTAAGGCCCATGGCCTAGGCTTGTGACCTCCATTGCACTTAGGAGGGGTGCCTGCCTAAGGTCTCCCTAAATGAGAGAGCCTACATCATAATTTGTGACAGTGGGGACCTGTGTTCGCGCGGTCCCTCCCAATTCTAGTTCTAATTTTTTCTTTTTCATTTACTATTGGAGTACTTTGATCCCTTATCTTACTATAATAATGAATATAAGTAATTCTCAATTTTATTTTAACTATTTCAATCTATACTGAATCTTCATGATAAAATGATGTATGTATTGAGATTGTATGAGTGTTTACATTATCTTTGTATCATTTAACATTTATATTTAATCATTATTAACTTTTAAAGATAAGTAATACAAATAAATAATGTATTAGCTGTGTATAAATATTTACACCGTTAAACCGATATTACATTATTCTAATAATATACAATGATCCATTTTATTTGGACATAAGCCAAATCTTTTGAGTCTAACTTCCATAATCATACTACAAACATCATTCCTTATTTGTTAAAAGATGCCTACAAGCACCATTACCAATTTCATGCATCAATATGAAATCTAAGCTCCATCATATACAATGATTTTGTTCTCCCAAAAAATATGTTTTTAGAAGAAGATTTTACATGTGGACCTTGACTTCAAAGAGTGTAGTAACTTTAAATAAGTTGTTGTTGAATAATCCACAAAGATGAGAATAACACATACCAGTTGCAACAATTGAAGGACAAACAACTGCAACAAAGTTTGTTAGATTAGTCCCACATTGATAAAGTGTACATAAAGAACTCAACATGCATTCTATAAATAAGTAGCGAATAGCAACTCTCAAATTACTTACCTGGATGGGGTCAATGGATGATCAAGAAGGTCCATGGCTTAGGTTGGTGACCTCCATTGCACTTTGGAGGGGTGCCAACCTAAGGTCTCCCCGAGTGGGAGAGCCTACATCATAATTTGTGGTAGGGGGCTTGTGTTCGCGCAGCCCCTCTTAAATTTATTTTAAAGTTTTAATTTGAAGTTGCATACATAATATTGATTTTTACATTGTATCATTTTAATGATTATTGACTAATAAATAAAAATATTATTTTTATACAAATTTGATTACTAACTTAATTTATAATGGAAATCTAACATGACATTGCTTGTAGTTATGATGACTTATTTACTTATAAGTCTGTGGCATCCAAAATACTTATTTTCACTTGGAGAATCAAACAAAACAAATTACATGAACTATTGACAATATGTATCATCATTAAGAATCATTAGATTTATGGTCTAAAATCATTAAGAATCCATGTTCTTTCAATTCTAGGGTATGCTGCAAGCAAAGTGAATCCTTATTAATGATAATGGAATAAATGACAGTGCCCTAGAACTATGAGGGTAAACTAATTTGAAAATGTTTACTTCGGGAAGATATTCCACATAGTCGGTCTTAAATCCGGATAAAGGGCAAATGTTATTTTAAGCAATTAACAACCAACATAAAACTTTGTAGAATTTATATGATATAGAAAAATTTTCCCTTCTCGAAGATAGAGCCAATCATTTGTATTCTCCTATTCACTTTAGGTAATTTGGATGAACTTCTTCAGAGTTCAAACTTCAAACTATGATGATCACTTTATTGTTTTGAACATGTTTATATTGCATTTTCTCACAATGGTCAAATTGCTATTCCTTTAATACATCACTATGATCTGAAATTCAGAATAACATGATATTTATCTTTCTTGAATTACATTTGCTCACTATGTTGAAAAATGTTTTATCTTGATGTTCTTCGGTTGAAAAATAACTTTTATCACATTGTGTGTGTTTGAATGAATGAATTGATTAATACAAACAACAATAACAAATAAACAGAAACAAATATCCTAATAAATGGTTTATGAGTTTTGTGCATAATGATAATCGTTAGTTCAAAGATAAAGGAACAAAAACATAGATATAAATGAACCAAGTATGTTTAAGTTAGTCCCACATCATTCAAAGTACATATGTGAAGCTCTGCAAGCATTGTATAAATAAAGAATCAATAGCAACTTTATAACATACTTACCTGGACGGGGTCAATGAGTGATCATGAAGGTCCATGGCCTAGGCTTGTGACCTCCATTGCACTTGGGAGGGGTGCTTGCTTAAGGTCTCCCCAAGAGGGAGAGCCTACGTCATAATTTATTGTAGTGGGGACCTGCGTTCGCGCGGTCCCTTCCAATTATAGTATTAAGTTTAATTTCTATGATTCAATAATTTGAAATTTGTAATTCATATTTAATAGTTTCCTTTAATGATCATCCATGGAGAATATAAGAAGAGTTGTGAGGTTAAATTAAGATTTGTATAACAAAGATGTATTTGTCTAATAGTGTAATATGTGATCATCCTAGATATTCACATATTGCACTACAATGATCTATGTTGCCAAATATTGTGGAATCTATGCAACATAAATATTGGAGAGAAAATGTAATAATATGAAATTTGATAAATTAGGAAATACATTACATCATGTTATGTTTATAGCTTATATACAATTTATGAACTTTGAAAACCAATAAGATGTTGATCTAGTGGTATAAGGTCACATTAGATCCTCAAGATTACCAAATGTTCAAAGATTTGACTCATGAACAACACTTGTTGGAAGGGACAATTTTACACCCCGAAAGAGATTAATTCCTTACCCATAAAGGTAAGAAGATATCCTTTACAATACAAAAAATTATAACTTTGAAATGCAATTTTTGGAAAAGGTAGCCACAAGTGGCAAGGAGATTAATCCTATGTACCAGTAATAAAATGTAAGCATACCTTCATTACACCAAAAGAAAAAACTAAAGGACTATTTTTTGTTTTCATATATATTTCATTATTTCCCATTACTAATTGCCAAAGAGTTAAAAGGCTAAACAATGAGTATGGTTTCATTTCAGGGATCTGAGAGTCAGTTACAATATAAACAAGAAAAATACAGATAATTACACTGACACCGGTCTATCATGAACCATTCTTCAATTGAAGCTAACCTAAAATTCTATCAACATCCAAAAAAATATTTGCTCTCACCCAGATAGATGAACCATCCGTCTAGCGATTTACGATTTACACTAATAGATGATTCATCTATCTGGGTGAGAGTAGCTATTCTTTGGTGCATATAGAATTGTCCATGTATTAGCTTAGTTAAACCAATGCCAGCTTTTAAAATAAGAGCACAAAGTGAGTTGCTTTACATTTCATTGCAGTAAATTTTTTCTTATTCTATTTGCATAATATCTGGCCAGAGTAAATAGACAAAAAAAGAACTAACCATTCTTAATGTTCAAGACAACAAAAATCTTCTGTTTAACTCTGCCCTATGAGCATCTCAAAAATTAGAAAAATAAATAAAACACAAACAAGTATTCGGAAAAACATTTCATTTACTTGGAAATGGTTGCACTCTTGTGCATTGTGAAGCTTATCAATCAGAACCAAATAGAACAGAAAAACACTGCAGAGAGATCCATTCTACCATATGTAGCCACTTGAAACAGATCAGGCTTCATAGCTGTTTAATATTTAACCTCTGAATCACTTCAATCCTTTCCGCAGCACCTTCATAAATAAGTATCAAGAAGCATAAAGTGATCAATTTTGGAAAACTATTCATAAAGATAATAATACACTTTTTGGGACAGAAGATGTTCTCTCGTTTTTCAAAAGGCAACCTAGTGCTGTACTTGTAAAAACCCCGGCAATGTACGGGGTCTGGAGAAGGGTCGGACCCACTATGTGGCCTTATATTTAGGCATCTTATAATGCATTTGCAAAAGACTGGTTCCACTATGTGGGTCCTTTGTAGGAAAATTATGTAAATGAAAATAGATGCCGAGGAGAAAGCTGTTTACAAATAGACAGACAATGGTTTTCAGACTACAATACATAGTCAAACACCGAAGCCATTTTCTTTAAAAAGATAATACAATTGCAATGAGAAATTTAGTCTCAGCATAACTAATGGAAAAGTAGTTAACTATCAGTAAGGAAGGAATTCTGGAAACTTTTGCTTCGCCGTGTACGTTTATATGGTTAAGTTCGTCTACGGTGTAAAAAGTATGCAGAGAAAACCCAAGAATTTACAACTAGCATGGACAGACAGTGTGTTTCGCTTGTCTAATTAATGAACAAGCAACTAACAACTGAAAACTATTAGTAAACAATTCAGTGTATAAGAAATTGAAGGGGGGAAACAAAAAAATGGAGCAAAATTAACCTTTTATATCTCTTCTTTGAGCCACATGGGCAAGGTGCATTCCGGCTAATTTGTCCAGACTGAGCCAAATTAGACCGTGCAAGATCGAATGGAGTTGAACCGACCATCTTTTGCAGCTAGAGAACATAAACAAGCCTGGTTAAACTCAAATTCAATGTCCCCACAAGAACCAAAGTAATATATTTGACATGGTAGAGTAAATTTCTTATGTAGCTGCATATACCAATACATTCACATATACCAAAGGTAATAAATAAGCATCTCAGTGACTTAGTTTGCATTAGATATAACACAAATACAAATAATGAGAAGCATTAATTACATCACCAAAGTTTTTTGGCATTGGTTTTCCTTCGTCTTTTAACTTTTGTATCTTCATCTGAGCTTCTTTAGCCCAAGTGAACTTTGCAAGTGCATTCTCTACGTCAGCAATTGCGCAGTTACAGTGTTTAGCAGCTTCTTGCTTTTGTGCTGTCTGGAGGTTCTGGAGATCACGAAAAACATAAAGTTAAAAATCACGAGACGGGTACCTAGTAAAAACCAAAACAATAAACTATCATACAAACAAGAAATATTATAAGAAAAAATGATGAATGACACATTCCTCAGGTTTGACTTAATTAAACTCTGCAACAACGCTACTGTTCTATAAATTAAACCCACTTCCTTTCGTTGTCATTACACTTATCCCCTTGAGGTAAATACTGTTATTATGCTTAAATACAGTCTAGGAGATAAAGTGTAATTAAACCAAACCAAACCTCAGCAGACATGGATACAATATGGCATAGACACCAGATATAGCAAATTTAAAAATAACTACAAGATAGCACATGGCTTCGGGTCAACAACAACAACAATCAAGTCTTCGAGTCTGTTTGCGAGTTGAGTTTTGAAGAGGAAGAAAGAGAAAGGAAGGCTTCAGAGTTATCTCACAAGTCTATTCTTCTATTAGGACTTCTAACCGTCCACACATGTTGAAACCACATAAGGTGTGATTCAACCATCCGAGCTACCCAAACTTTCTCTCTAATGTATCATTCTTAATCTTATTTTCTCTAGTAGTATACTCATCCAAAACAACATTATCATCTCAGCTACAGTTACTTTTCAACACATGTTTTATACATAACTTGTAAATTTACAAATCAATATAAAATTAAAAATCCTAAATCCTAAATCGAAATAGAAATTGAAAAGTAAAGTCACTAAAAACATGATAAACTACACTAACTCGAACTCATGAGGTCAGGGACTTATAGCCAACGATTCCATTGAGTTTGCTACCGCTAACTCCGGGACTCAGAATGATGGCTCGGGGACTTAAAGCCGAATATTTCATTGAGTTGCTAACAGTAAGCTAATTTAGCATCATCCAAAACAATATTTCCTTCTACGCTATAGTTATATGGTAAATTTACAAATCAACATCAACTTAAAAAATCTTAAACCAAGCTAGAGAAATTAAATTTGAAAAGGTAAAATCACTAACAACATAATAAACTTAAAGTTTTAAAAGAAAATGTTAATTATACCTCACCAGTAGGATCAAAAAGAGCGAGAAATCGAACAATAGCTTCAGATTTCTCAAATGCAGTATTAAACGTAACTTCACTACTTCTTCCAACTACGTATTCCTTAAATGCTCCTATTCTTCTCGCATTCTTCATTTCATCAGCAAAACCTGTTATCTCACACTATTATATCATAACAATAATAATAATAATAATAATTAATAATAATAAAAATGAAAATTGAATTTCAAAAATGGATGTGAAATTACGAAGAAGTGTGAATTGATGAGAAGAGATTTGTGATATGTCTTCTTCAGTAGTAATAGGAGTTTTTTGGCCTGAAAAGACGTTTTTGACCTTATTAATCCATGAAGGAGAATTGAAGTGAGGTGTAGAGAAAAATGAACGGTGATTAATGGAAGAATTGAAAATGATTTTGAAGCTACGAAATGATGATGGTGATGATGCAGCAGCCATTGATGGATTTAAAGCTTCACTATGTTTCTTCGTTTTGCTTCTTATATATGCAACGGGTTGAAAAAAAAATAAAAAAAAATGTCTAAATGGGCTAGTGATGGGTCTTTATTGATTGGCCCAAGTAAACTCTAATATTTTTATAGAGAAAAAAATATGTATCAACTGATTATGCAATATAATTATATATTCATTCGATTTAATTTAGATTTATTCACTAATTCAAATCATTAAATTTCTTTATAATTGATGTAAAACTTACACTTAGAATAAGTTGATCTCCTCCCTATAATAATTGTACATAAATCTTTTATAAAAAATGATATATCATCCTAATAAATACTCTTATTAATCTTCTTACCCACAAGAAAGAGGAAAGTGATATATGTCACTTGTAAACCGATCACTAATAAATAAAGTATGACTTTGTGACATATGTCACTTTTTCGTAGACAAAAAAATTAGTAGAATAATTTAGTATGAGGATATAGTATTAATCATCTACATCTTTTAACATTGTTACAAAATTCATCACATTTAGATTATTTGTATATCATGATAATAATTGATAAAAAATATATATGACTTGTAAACCAAATATTAATAAATAAAGTATTACTTTCACTTTTTTTAGATAAGAGGACTAGTAAGAAAATTTATTAGAATGATATAACATTAATTTTCTAATTAATTAGAATCTTCATATTATAATAAGATGAAAAGACGATCGTGCCCCACTAATTAAAAAGGAAGAGAAAAATGGGTCAAAGGATCTATGAGAATAAAATCCAAGACCCATAATTACATTACATTTTCACTTCCTCCATTCTCTCTCTCTCTCTCTCTCTCTCTCTCTCTCTCTCTCTCTCATTTCAATTCCTCCATTTTCTTTCTCTCCCTGAAACTTCATCCACTACAAATTAGAAACAAGCTCAAAACTGCTTCAATTCTCGTCACTCTTCACGGTTT